GTCCCGGTCCGGTACGGGCGCGACACTGAGGGTTGCGATCCGTTGCCGGACACGAAAAAAGACAAAAAAGGAAAAAAAAATGGTGGTCAGGGGCATGGTTCTAAGAGCTTTAAAAGAAGAGGAGAGTCTGTCTTTCTCTCTCTCTGCTCTCCCTCTGCTTCCACCATCTTGCAGTGTGAGACCCCGGGTCACTGTAGCCATCACCGGATGGACTTTGGACTTCCCAGCCTCAGAAACTGTAAGCAATCAATTTCATTTTTCTTTATAAATCACCTAGTTGCAGGTATTTTGTTGTAAGCAACAAAAATGGACTAATACAGAATATTGGTACCAAGAGTGGGGTGTTGCTTATAACAAATATTTGAAAATGTGGAAGCAGCTTTGGAACTGGGTGTTGAGGAGAAGCTGGAGGAATTTGGAGGAAGAAGCTAGAAAAAGTCTAGATGCTGGGAAAGTTTAGAAGACCAGAAAATGAGGGAGAGTTTGGAATGTCTTAGAGACTGGTTATGTGGTGGCAAGCAGAATGCTGATAGAAATACAGACTGTAAAGACCATTCTAAGGAGGTCTCAGATAGAAATAAGAAGGAGTTTTTCAGAAACTGGGAAAAAGATCACCCTTGCTATGAACTGGCAAAGAACTTGGCTGCATTGTGTCCATACCCTAGGACTTTGTGGAAATTGGAACTTGAGAGTTATGAACCAAAAACAAAGATAAAAAAAAACAAAACAAAACAAAACAAAAAACAAACAAACAAAAAAAGAGTTGTGAACCAAAATATTTGGCAGAAGAAATTTCCAAGCAGCAGAACATTAACGAAGCTGCATGGTTACTTGCAAAAGCCTACACTGAGTTATGACAGCAAAGGTTTGATGTGAAGCCAGAATTTAAAAGGGAAGCAGAGTGTAAAGATTTAGAAAATTTGCAGCCTGGCCATGTGGTAAAGAAGCAGAGAGCATGCAGTGGTGCAGCCCAGCTAAGAAGATTTACACAAAAGGAACGGGATTATCGAGAGAAGGAAAAAGGCCCTGAAGGTACTGGAGAATCCTCTGGGAACAACCCTTCCATTACAGGCCCAAAGACCTAGGGAGACAGAATTGTCTTGGGGAACAGGCTTGAGGAGCCCTCCACAGGCTCACTGCCCAGGGCCACCTCCAGAAGCTGCGTCCAGCTCCAGCACCCTGGATGCTTTGGCTACTCAGGCTGTGGGTAAATTGATCCCAGGTATGGCTGGACCCGCAGCTTTGGAAAATACAAGCCAGAAGCCTTGGCGGTGTCCACGTGGTGTTAGGTCTGAAGGCTCGCAGAATGCCAGAGCTGTGGAGGCTTGGGAGCCTCTACCTAGATTTCAAAGGA